ATAACATATAGATATTATATATATATATATATATATATATGATGTGTAATAAATATAGATAATAATAATAATCATAAAATATATTATAATATGATTTTGACATTTTAAATATTTTAATAATATTTCAAGTTCCAACACATTTAACACACACCCGTCTTGTGTTAGAGGTTTCATTAGCACTCTCCAATCTCCATAGTAAATTAGGAAGTTAACAGAATGATGTGAAATTTAAGAATTTATTTGACGGCGAAAAGCGGGTATTTTCCACACCACTACCCCCATAAACCCACGTTATCTCTTTAACCACCCTTTCACTACCTTCCCTATAAATACCCTTCTTCCCCACCAAACCTCTGCAAATCCATCCAATTAAACTTTAAGCTTAATCAACAATGGAAACTACCGCAAACAACGATGCCGCTGTCTTCAAGCTCCGTCAAATACCTTCTCCAATCACACACTTATCATTCATGGCTTCTCAAATCTGGCTCCGAATCGTCGCCGCTGCAACCTCCATTGCCGCCGCTTGTTTGATGTTCAATAGCCGACAGTCCAAGCTCCTTTTCGGAACGAATCTCGACGCACGTTACACCTACTCTCCCGGTTTCAAGTACACAACTAATTACTTCTCTCTCGATGTCGATAAATCTGCTGTTTACGATGATGTTTTGTGAGTTTCCGGCGATTTGTTGCAGGTTTTTTGCGTTGATGAATGTCGTTGCTTGCGCCTTCTCCGTCTTGTCGTTGCTGCCGGTTTTCTCACTTGGCCGGAAATTCTCCAACTCCGTCAACTATTTCTTCTTGTTCCTCCATGATCTGGTAAACCTATGAACTTGACATTTCCATTTTTTTTCTTTCGAGAAACTGAAGATATTAATTCCTTAATTTTTGCAATTTAATAAAATAAATTAAATCTTAATTAACCTAGTATCTCAAATATTATTTTAATATTATATGTTATATAATGAATTTTTTTATTCCAAATATTAAATTTAAATTCCTTTTATTGTTTTAATTAATTTTAATTTAATTCCTTATTATATTATTTTTTTAAAAAACTTAAATTTGAAAATTACGGTTGTCATTAAGAATCAATAATCTCATTAAATAATTTATTATCGTTTGTTAGGTGGATTTTAAATGTTATTGAACATCATTAAAGATAGTTTAATGCTAATTACTTTAAGGCAACAATTATAGATTTAATAATTTCCATTGTTATATATATACATATATATTTATATATATGT